TCAGTTTACTACTCTATTGGTGTGCCATAATTTACATGTTTAACATTTAGAGTGTTTAATAATTTTACATTACATTTATTTGTAGGAGATTTATGCCATTATGAACTTCATGTGAATACTCTTCCATCACTGAGTAGTTCACAACAGCAAACAAAAGATACTATTGAAGATTGTATGGCTGTATGTGGTCAAAACAAGGATGCATGTCAAGGCTTTGTTTACAAGTCAAGCGAGAAATTATGTCACACTTTCTTTAGCTCACTTCCAACAGACAGGTCTACTGATACAAGCTATGATTTGTATGTAAAGACTTGCATCAGACCAACAGGCAAGTTATTAATACATATTAATTTGTGGCAGTTTTTTTTATTATTATTGAACCTGTTTTGTTGATAGTGATTATATGATTGACCTTGTTGAGTTGTTGCTGATTATATGATTGACCTTGTTGAGTTGTTGCTGATTATATGATTGACCTTGTTGAGTTGTTGCTGATTATCACAAGGATATTATTGATACTAGATAATAGAGGTTAAAAAGAGTGACCATTTGATGAGTTCCTTATCATCTTTAGCTATTATTGGTACTAGATAATAGAAAAGTACAGTGGCTTGAATGTAAGTAGTTCTCTCCACCACAATAAGTAGTGCAAAGTGAATAAAGAGAGCATACTTACAATCCCTTTAGATTTGAATTCCACTTCAATTAGATTAAGTCAACATGCTGAAGAACACAGGAACTTATTTCACTCTGTTACAATGATACATTACCACATTGACAATAACCTTTGACAATGACCTTATTGAGTTGAGATAGTCATAATATCAATAATTGTTTTTTAAAGGCAGTGCTTTAATGCCTTTCTAGTTGCCGGGTTAATCCTTCCTTCCGCGATATCCATCTTATCTACGTGGGGGGTCGTTAGGCTCCAAGTAGATCCGGAAATGTTGAATTCTCTCCTCTTCTTATTGCGATATAAAATGTTTTTTGTTTCATTTCATTTACATTGGGAAATAGAGAAACGATCATTGTGTTTTGTTAGTTTTAAAAACTTTAAATATATTTGTATTTTGCATTATAAGCAGTCAACCGATTGACAAACTAGAATTATTTGAATTCCGTGTGGAAAGAGCTCGGGTTAATTTCGAGTGTTATCTGCAATCTATATGTTTATAAATCATTTCAGTCGTTGATATAATAATTAAAGGTCGACTGAACATGAATTATATTATACAATTTAAAGCGCATTTCTGTTTATGCACGTGAACCCGTCTAACGTTATTGTTATTTCGCAGTTATATAAAGTAGCAAATTATCGTTCCTGAATAGGTGGCGCCATGGTAGCCGATCCTGTTCCTCAATTTCCGGTTTCTGCACTGTGCAACTATTTCAGTTACATTTTTAATTAACGATGCCTAGTACTTGTTGTTGTGTACCTGGGTGTCATTTAAGAGGAGGACATGCATTTCCAAATGACTTAAAAAGAAGGAAAAGTTGGATCAACGCCATGGCCCATACGCAGATTGGACGAGAACACGATGAAATCGTGGAGTCCATCTCAATCAGCTGTTGTTTGCAAGGCACATTTTACTGAAATAGACTACGTGCGGGAAACTATTCATGGTAAAACTCTATTTTCTTTTTGAAATATATAGTTATATATGTAATCGCCATGCGAATAAACCAAAGTCTGTTTACAACCGCAATTATCGTTTTAGAATAAAAGGGGGTGGTTCATTCAAGACGTCATAATTTTTTGGATTACGATTCAATCTGATCTGTTTGAGATTTTTTGGTGATTGCTACAATTTTAATGATTTCTTACAAGAGGTATATCATACTGAGAATTATTTTAGCAGTAATTATGCTAATGTAGTAATGACAGGAATGCATAAGCTATGCCTCATAGACTTTCTTGAAAAATATCAATGACAATGTTAACAGGAACAAAACAATGACATGCTCTCATCTATATTATAGTTATTTAGGTATAAACAATGTACGTTTGTTGCATAAGTCTCTCATTGTTTGTCCTTTGGATTTACATAACATACATTGAATTAGGCAAACATAGTTTTATCCAGATTGTAATGAATAAATCTAGTTAATATTTCGCCAGGTAATACAAAGTATACATTGCTAATGGAAGTTCATTTAATTATCAAAAAACTAATGTTTTATAACCTTTTTCAGGGCGCAAACCCACCATTCAGAGACTTAAGTCTACTGCAATTCCCAGCCTATTTTCCTGGACCAAGCAAGAGACTGAATCGTCCGCAAAAAGAAAAATCAGGGCAGTTTCCTGTGAAAACAAAAGAATCAAACTTGATGAATATTGTAGTAGAAATCTAGAGGGAAGTTTTGATTGTAAAGTTGGTTTTCCTGAAGAAGTCATTCATACTGCAGAAAGGATTTATGACTGTCCACCACCAACTGCCGAGCAAATGTTGAGCTTCACAGATGGAATTGTGCAAACACCATCAATGCCTATGTTTTCAGCAGAGAATTTTGAAATGAAGACATGTGACACAGCCATGCATTTTTATACCGGTTTAGAGTTGTATACTAAATTTTTATTTGTTTTGACCACACTTGGTCCAGCAGCACATTGTTTGAGATACATATATTTTCAAATTGATAGGGTGTCATGATCAGTTGAAAATCAGTTTTTTTATGACTTTGATGAAATTGAGGCATTATACAACCAACTTTGAACTTTCTAGATTCTAGATTGAATCTAGTGTTAAGAATATTGTGTATACATGGATTGTTTTTATGTCTAAACAGTGGTGTCAGGCTAACACTTGGTCATCTAGTGGTTTAGTCAGGTATTTTTCACCATCCAACTTCAAATTAAAGTTTCCTACGACTTGGATTATTATTGACAGCACAGAATATCCCGTGATAAAACCTAAAGCTCCTAGAGCTCAGGCAACCTTTTCATCATATAAAAACAGAAACACTGAAAATACTTGTATGTTCGACACCTGGTGGTTTAGTCAACGATGTCTCTAATGCATATGTTGGTTCTACCAGTGACTATATATGAAATAGTTGAAAGATGTAGAATAGTTCAATTATGTGATCCAGGTGACAGTGTGATGGCAGACAAAGGTTTAAATGTGCAAGATTTGTTTGCTAACTTTTTTCAAAAAAAGAAACAGAATTAGTTCCAAAACTCTTATACGGGATAGAAAAGTCTCCAATTAACATGTGCACATAGAGCGAATTATTGGACTTGGCAAAACATACAAAATTCTAATAAATCCTATGAATGGAACTGAAACAAAACTTTCATCTGAAATAACATTTAGTTGTACTATGTTGTGTAATTTTAGAACTTGTATTGTGCCAAAGGATGCATAAATAAAAGTGACGCAATGAATTTTGTTCTGATATATAAATATTTATAATTACATGCACATGTAAATTGTAATGCATATAAAAATAAGGAGATGTGGTATGATATTCAGTGAGTTTATCGAACTAAAGTGCATAAGAAACGGGTTTAAGCAGTTACAGGTGTTACTGTCACCGTACAATCTCCAACAATGAGAAAAACTTGTACCATGTAAAACATTTCAGAGATCTTACCACTAAGTTTTGTTGTCTCACCTTGACTTTGGTGAATTGTTTATATCTGTTGATGTAAATATAAAAAAGAAGATGTGGTATGATTGCCAATGAGACAACTCTCCACAAGAGACCAAATGACACAGAAATTAACAGCTATAGGTCACAGTACGGCCTTCAACAATGAACAAAGCCCATACCGCACAGTCAGCTATAAAAGGCCCCGAAATGACAATGTAAAACAATTTAAACAAGAAAACTAACGGCCTAATTTATGTACAAAAAATGAACGAATATAACAAATATGCAACACATAAACAAACAACAACCACTGAATTACAGGCTCCTGACTTGGGACAGGCACGCCACATACATGTACATACAGAATGTGTCAGGGTTAAACATGTTAGTGGGATCCCAACCCTCCCCCTAACCTGGGACAGTGGTGTAACAGTACAATATAAGAACGAACTATAAAAATCAGTTGAAAGAGGCTTAACTCATCAGATGGATAAATACAAATACAAGTGGACGTGGTCGGGTAGTTGTAAATCCAAACAACAAAAAGACACTAAGTACAGATCTGAGAGTACTCAAAGTTACTGACAGCTAGTTCAAAGCCACTAACAACTGATAAAAAAATCTTGCATCTAAGACTAAATTATCAATCCGTAAGCTCCCTTTAGAATTTTATAAATTTTAGATTTTACATTTCTGAGTTATGGGGTTTTATTCAGGGGGGATTTTCCAGTTTTTGTCGAGCCTGCGACTTTTGTCGCAGAAAGCTCGACATTGGGATAGTGATGTGGCAGCGGCGTTAGCTAACTTCTTAAAAGCTTTATATTTTAGAAGGTGGAAGACCTAGATGCTTCATACTTTGTATATGGATGCCTCATGTTACGAAGTTTCCGTCAGCCACATGTCCAATGTCCTTGACCTCATTTTCATGGTTCAGTGACTACTTGAAAAAAAAGTTAACATTTTTTGTAATGTAAATTCTCTCTTATTATAAGTAGTAGGATAACTATATTTGGTATGTGCGTACCTTGCAAGGTCCTCATGCCCGTCAGACAGTTTTCACTTGACCTCGACCTCATGTCATGGATCAGTGAACAAGGTTAAGTTTTGGTGGTCAAGTCCATATCTCAGATACTATAAGCAATAGGTCAAGTATATATTTGGTGTATGGAAGGACTGTAAGGCGTACATGTCCAACTGGCAGGTGTCATCTGACCTTGACCTCATTTTCATGGTTCAGTGGTTATAGTTAAGTTTTTGTGTTTTGGTCTGTTTTCTTATACTGTATGCAACAGGTCTACTATATTTGGTGTATGGAATGATTGTAAGGTGTACATGTCTAGCTGGCAGGTCTCATTTGACCTTGACCTCATTTTCATGGTTCAGTGGTCAAAGTTAAGATTTTGAGTTTTGGTCTTTTTTTCTAATACTATATGCAATAGGTCAACTATATTTGGTGTATGGAAATATTTTATGATCTATATGTCAGTCGCGCAGGTTTTATTTGACCTTGACCTCATTTTCACAGTTCATTGCTCAGTGTTAAGTTTTTGTGTTTTGGTCTGTTTTTCTTAAACTATAAGCAATAGGTCAACTATATTTGTTGTATGGAAGAATTGTTAGCTGTACATGTCTGCCTGGCATGGTTCATCTGACCTTGACCTCATTTTCATGGTTCATTGGTCAATGTTTAGTTTTCTTGGTTAATGTTAAGTTTATGTGACAGTTGTAATAAAGCTTTATATTAAGGACTATCAACATGATATCAGTGATTAGTAAAGAAGGCGAGACATTTCAGCGTGTGCACTCTTGTTGGACAACAACTCAAAAATGCTTTAAGCAGTTCGCATGAAACTTTGGTGAATTATTTATAGCTATTGATGTAATCTCCCTATAGATTTTCATAAATTTCAAATATGACATTGAGAAGAAATTGAACTTTATTTGTTTATAGTCTGGCAACAGATTCATTAAGTATTGCGCAACAGCACAGTGTATTGCACAACAGCAAGAAATCTTTAATTGAATATAAATTCAATTCATATAACCGATTTCAAGTTCTTTGACTACATTTAGTCAGAAACTATAATATGTCAAATATTTAATTACAATCCAAATTCAGACCTGTATCAAGCTTGAATATTGTGTCCATTTTTGCCCCAACTGTTCAGGGTTGGACCTCTGCGGGTGTATCCAGCTGCGCTCAGCGAATCAGTTTATTTCTTAATTAAGAACTCCTTTTTATACGACCGCAAAAATTAAAAAAATTTTGGTCGTATATTGGTATGACGTTGGCGTCGTCGTCGTCCGGCGTCGTCCAAAGACACATTGGTTTTCGCACTCTAACTTTAGTTTAAGTGAATGGATCTCCATGAAATTTAACCATAAGGTTCAATACCACGAAAGGAAGGTTGGGATTGATTTTGGGGGTTATGGTACCAACAGTTAAGGAAAAAGGGGCCAAAAATAAGCATTTTTGTAACTTCCAGACAATAACTTGTGTGTAAGTGTATGGATCTCTCTGACATTGTACCACAAGGTTCCATATCACAAAGGGAAGGCTGGAATTGATTTTGGGGGTAATTGCCTCAAAATGATAGGAATTAGGGGCCAAAAAAGGGGCAAAAAACAAGCATTTTTCTTGTTTCATGACAATAACTTGTGTGTAAGTGTTTGGATATTTCTGAAATTGTACTACAAGGTTCCATATCACAAAGGGAAAGATGGAATTGAGTTTGGGGGTAATTGCCCGAAACGTTTAGGAATTGGGGGCTAAAAAGGGGCCAAAAATAAGCATTTTTCTAGTTTCCAGACAATAACTTGTGTTCAAGTGTATGGATCTCTCTGAAATTGTACTGCAAGGTACCATACCACAAAGGGAAGGCTGAGATTGAGTTTGGGGGTGATGAATCATAAGGGGGTTCAAAAAATTTTGGGGGGGATTTTTTTTTTTCTTTTTTTCCTTTTTTTTTTCTTTTAAAATTTAAAATTTTAATTTGGTTATTTCTGATTTATATTTAAAAGCAAATAATAATGATATGGTAGGAGATACACACCAAACAGGATGTGTAAATTATTATATAATAAGTATTGTGCAATATCAAGAAATTTTCAATTGCACAGTATTGCACAATAGCAAGAAATCTTCAATTGCACAGTATTGCGCAATAGCAAGAAATCTTCAATTGCACAGTATTGCGCAATAGCAAGAAATATCCAATAGCACAATATTGCGCAATAGCAAGAAATTGTCAATTGTACAGTATTGCCCAATAGCAAGAAATAATCAATTGCACAGTATTGTGCAAAAGAAGATACTTCGTATAAATTGCTTATTTCTTGATCAATTTCGATGGGGTTTTATTCTTGAATTCTTGGGGTTCTTTAATATGCTGAATCTAACCGTGTATTAAGTTTTTGGATTTAAGGCCCCGTTTTTAAATTGGTCCACATTGAGGTCCAAAGGGTCCAAAATTTAACTTTGTTTGATTTCATCAAAAATTGAATTATTGGGGTTCTTTGATATGCCGAATCTAACCATGTATTTAGATTCTTAATTTTTGGTTCTGTTTTCAAATTGGTCTACATAAAGGTCCAAAGGGTCCAAAATTAAACTTAGTTTGATCTAAAAAAAAATTGAATATATGGGGTTCTTTGATATGCTGAATCTAACCATGTATTTAGATTTTTGATTATGGGCCCAGTTTTCAAGTTGGTCCAAATCGGGGTCCAAAATTAAACTTTGTTTGATTTCAACAAAAATTGAATATATGGGGTTCTTTGATATGCTGAATCTAACCATGTATTTAGATTTTTGATTATGGGCCCAGTTTTCAAGTTGGTCCAAATCGGGGTCCAAAATTAAACTTTGTTTGATTTCAACAAAAATTGAATATATGGGGTTCTTTGATATGCTGAATCTAACCATGTATTTAGATTTTTGATTGTTGGGCCCCGTTATCAACTTTGTCCACATTGAGATCAAAAGGGTCCAAAATTAAACTTTGTTTGATTTCATCAAAAATTGAATATATGGGGTTCTTTGATATGCTGAATCTAACCATGTATTTAGATTTTTGATTATGGGCCGTTTTCAAGTTGGTCCAAATCGGGGTCCAAAATTAAACTTTGTTTGATTTCAACAAAAATTGAATATATGGGGTTCTTTGATATGCTGAATCTAACCATGTATTTAGATTTTTGATTATGGGCCCAGTTTTCAAGTTGGTCCAAATCGGGGTCCAAAATTAAACTTTGTTTGATTTCAACAAAAATTGAATATATGGGGTTCTGTAATATGCTGAATCTAACCGTGTATTAAGTTTTTGGATTTTGGGCCCCGTTTTTAAATTGGTCCACATTGAAGTCCAAAGGGTCCAAAATTTAACTTTGTTTGATTTCAACAAAAATTGAATTATTGGGGTTCTTTGATATGCCGAATCTAACCGTGTATTTAGATTCTTAATTTTTGGTTCCGTTTTCAAATTGGTCTACATAAAGGTCCAAAGGGTCCAAAATTAAACTTAGTTTGATTTTAACAAAAATTGAATTTTTAGGGTTCTTTGATATGCTGAATCTAAACATGTATTTAGATTTTTGATTATGGGCCCAGTTTTCAAGTTGGTCCAAATCGGGGTCCAAAATTAAACTTTGCTTGATTTCAACAAAAATTGAATATATGGGGTTCTTTGATATGCTGAATCTTACCATGTATTTAGATTTTTGATTTTTGGGCCCTGTTATCATTTTTGTCCACATTGAGATCAAAAGGGTCCAAAATTAAACTTAGTTTGATCTAAAAAAAAATTGAATATATGGGGTTCTTTGATATGCTGAATCTAACCATGTATTTAGATTTTTGATTATGGGCCCAGTTTTCAAGTTGGTCCAAATCGGGGTCCAAAATTAAACTTTGTTTGATTTCAACAAAAATTGAATATATGGGGTTCTTTGATATGCTGAATCTAACCATGTATTTAGATTTTTGATTGTTGGGCCCCGTTATCAACTTTGTCCACATTGAGATCAAAAGGGTCCAAAATTAAACTTTGTTTGATTTCATCAAAAATTGAATATATGGGGTTCTTTGATATGCTGAATCTAACCATGTATTTAGATTTTTGATTATGGGCCCAGTTTTCAAGTTGGTCCAAATCGGGGTCCAAAATTAAACTTTGTTTGATTTCAACAAAAATTGAATATATGGGGTTCTTTGATATGCTGAATATAACCATGTATTTAGATTTTTGATTATGGGCCCAGTTTTCAAGTTGGTCCAAATCGGGGTCCAAAATTAAACTTTGTTTGATTTCAACAAAAATTGAATATATGGGGTTCTGTAATATGCTGAATCTAACCGTGTATTAAGTTTTTGGATTTTGGGCCCCGTTTTTAAATTGGTCCACATTGAAGTCCAAAGGGTCCAAAATTTAACTTTGTTTGATTTCATCAAAAATTGAATTATTGGGGTTCTTTGATATGCCGAATCTAACCGTGTATTTAGATTCTTAATTTTTGGTTCCGTTTTCAAATTGGTCTACATAAAGGTCCAAAGGGTCCAAAATTAAACTTAGTTTGATTTTAACAAAAATTGAATTTTTAGGGTTCTTTGATATGCTGAATCTAAACATGTATTTAGATTTTTGATTATGGGCCCAGTTTTCAAGTTGGTCCAAATCGGGGTCCAAAATTAAACTTTGTTTGATTTCAACAAAAATTGAATATATGGGGTTCTTTGATATGCTGAATCTTACCATGTATTTAGATTTTTGATTTTTGGGCCCTGTTATCATTTTTGTCCACATTGAGATCAAAAGGGTCCAAAATTAAACTTTGTTTGATTTCATCAAAAATTGAATTCTTGGGGTTCTTTGATATGCTGAATCTAACCATGTATTTAGATTTTTGATTGTTGGGCCCCGTTATCAACTTTGTCCACATTGAGATCAAAAGGGTCCAAAATTAAACTTTGTTTGATTTCATCAAAAATTGAATATATGGGGTTCTTTGATATGCTGAATCTAACCATGTATTTAGATTTTTGATTATGGGCCCAGTTTTCAAGTTGGTCCAAATCGGGGTCCAAAATTAAACTTTGTTTGATTTCAACAAAAATTGAATATATGGGGTTCTTTGATATGCTGAATCTAACCATGTATTTATATTTTTGATTATGGGCCCAGTTTTCAAGTTGGTCCAAATCGGGGTCCAAAATTAAACTTTGTTTGATTTCAACAAAAATTGAATATATGGGGTTCTGTAATATGCTGAATCTAACCGTGTATTAAGTTTTTGGATTTTGGGCCCCGTTTTTAAATTGGTCCACATTGAAGTCCAAAGGGTCCAAAATTTAACTTTGTTTGATTTCATCAAAAATTGAATTATTGGGGTTCTTTGATATGCCGAATCTAACCGTGTATTTAGATTCTTAATTTTTGGTTCCGTTTTCAAATTGGTCTACATAAAGGTCCAAAGGGTCCAAAATTAAACTTAGTTTGATTTTAACAAAAATTGAATTTTTAGGGTTCTTTGATATGCTGAATCTAACCATGTATATAGATTTTTGATTATGGGCCCAGTTTTCAAGTTGGTCCAAATCGGGGTCCAAAATTAAACTTTGTTTGATTTCAACAAAAATTGAATATATGGGGTTCTTTGATATGCTGAATCTAACCATGTATTTAGATTTTTGATTTTGGGCCCAGTTTTCAAGTTGGTCCAAATCGGGGTCCAAAATTAAACTTTGTTTGATTTCAACAAAAATTGAATATATGGGGTTCTTTGATATGCTGAATCTAACCATGTATTTAGATTTTTGATTTTGGGCCCAGTTTTCAAGTTGGTCCAAATCGGGGTCCAAAATTAAACTTTGTTTGATTTCAACAAAAATTGAATATATGGGGTTCTTTGATATGCTGAATCTAACCATGTATTTAGATTTTTGATTGTTGGGCCCCGTTATCAACTTTGTCCACATTGAGATCAAAAGGGTCCAAAATTAAACTTTGTTTGATTTCATCAAAAATTGAAAATATGGGGTTCTTTGATATGCTGAATCTAACCATGTATTTAGATTTTTGATTATTGGCCCAGTTTTCAAGTTGGTCCAAATCGGGGTCCAAAATTAAACTTTGTTTGATTTCAACAAAAATTGAATATATGGGGTTCTTTGATATGCTGAATCTAACCATGTATTTAGATTTTTGATTATGGGCCCAGTTTTCAAGTTGGTCGAAATCGGGGTCCAAAATTAAACTTTGTTTGATTTCAACAAAAATTGAATATATGGGGTTCTTTGATATGCTGAATCTAACCATGTATTTAGATTTTTGATTTTTGGGCCCTGTTATCATTTTTGTCCACATTGAGATCAAAAGGGTCCAAAATTAAACTTTGTTTGATTTCATCAAAAATTGAATTCTTGGGGTTCTTTGATATGCTGAATCTAACCATGTAGTTAGATTTTGGATATTGGACCATAATAGGTGAATGTCCAATTTAAAATTTTTAAGTTCTTAGACCACATTCATTCTGTGTCAGAAACCTATGCTGTGTCAAATATTTAATCACAATCCAAATTCAGAGCTGTATCAAGCTTGAATGTTGTGTCCATACTTGCCCCAACTGTTCAGGGTTCGACCTCTGCGGTCGTATCAAGCTGCGCCCTGCGGAGCATTTTATTTCATTCATAAATTACTTTAAACTTGGAAATATAATTTTGCTTGGAGTTATAGTTTCTTAAAAAAGTATTGTCATTGAAAGAGTTGACATGTTGGAATGTACATTTATTCTACATAGTTCTATGGTACCAAATCAAAAGTTTATATAAAAGAAAGAAGTAAAGGTTTCCCATCATAGTTAAGTTACATACATTTTTTTTGTACCTGAGGTCGTTGAATATAGATCATTATATAAATAAGGAGATGTGTTATGATTGCCAATGAAACAACTATCATCCATACTTAACAGTAACAAACCACATTTGCAGAGTTGAATAAAATACAGTTGATAACATTTACTTATTACTAAAAAGAAAATGCCTAACTATTTTAAACAGTATTTGAATATCAATTATATGGTCATTTTTATAAACTTCCTGTTACAAAACTTTGAATTTTTCGAAAAACTAAGGATTTTCTTATCCAAGAATAGATTACCTTAGCCGTATTTGGCACAACTTTTTGGAATTTTGGGTCCTCAATGCTCTTCAACTTTGTACTTGTTTGGCTTTATAACCATTTTGATCTGAGCGTCACTGATGAGTCTTATGTAGACGAAACGCGCGTCTGGCGTATTAAATTATAATCCTGGTACCTTTGATAACTAATTTGACTATAAACATAGATAAAAAAAGGTACAAACTGGACATAATGCACTAGTTCATAAACAAGTGAGAACAATCACCTTCATATAGTGCTCAGAATATGACATTCATATAACTTGTTCAATATCATTAGAGAACTCTAAATCTTAAATACTGAAAGCCACCTCTGATAAGTACACTGTACTATGCAAGATAATGATATAACTGGACTAAAAATACACACAACCTGTAATTAACTGCCTTTACAGTGCTTTCGCGCTTTGATTTTATTACAACATTAGCAGTTACCAGGGGCGGATCCAGCCATTTTTAAAAGGGGGTTCCAACCACATGTCCCCATTCAAAAGCATTGATCATCAAAAACAAGGGGGGGTTCCAACCCCCGTAACCCCCTCCTGGATTCCCCACTGAGTTACTGTTGTTATTAGAAAGTTAGGATTGGCTATTATTATACTCAACTATATTTTATTAACTGTATGTTTTATTCCTTGAAGGAGAATAACCCCTTTTTAGCTCATTTGCACGTCAAAATAATAACTAGCTAGTACATTTTCATCAAAAAAATATGACAGCAGCCTCAACATTTGGCACATGCTCTGATCTGGAAATTGCAATCATTTTGAAACAAAAAAGACTCAAAAAGCACTAAGCAGGCTACAAAAGTTGCGTTACTATGCTTAAATGAGTATGCAATACAGATGGATGAAAAATCTTGATTTGCTATCGTTAGGATAACATTACAATTGGCTGTTATCACCACAACATCAACATTTGCTGTTGTATAGATAACATTATCAGTGACTGTTATCACCACAACACCAACATTTGCTATCGTAAAGATAACATTATCAGTGGATGTTATCACCACAACACCAAAATTTGCTATTGTATAGATATCATTATCAGTGACTGTTATCAACACAACACCAACATTTGCTATCGTAAAGATAACATTATCAGTGACTGTTGTCACCACAACACCAACATTTTTTCTATCGTAAAGATAACATTATCAGTGACTGTTGTCACCACAACACCAACATTTGCTATCGTAAAGATAACATTATCAGTGACTGTTGTCACCACAACACCAACATTTTCCATCGTAAAGATAACATTATCAGTGACTGTTGTCACCACAACACCAACATTTCTATCGTAAAGATAACATTATCAGTGGCTGTTATCACCACAACACCAACATTTGCTATTGTATAGATAACATTATTAGTGACTGTTATCAACACAACACCAACATTTGCTATCGTAAAGATAACATTATCAGTGACTGTTGTCACCACAACACCAACATTTGCTATCATAAAGATAACATTATCAGTGACTGTTGTCACCACAACACCAACATTTTCTATCGTAAAGATAACATTATCAGTGACTCTTGTCACCACAACACCAACATTTTCTATCGTAAAGATAACATTACCAGTGACTGTTGTCACCACAACACCAACATTTTCTATCGTAAAGATAACATTATCAGTGACTGTTGTCACCACAACACCAACATTTCTATCGTAAAGATAACATTATCAGTGGCTGTTATCACCACAACACCAACATTTGCTATTGTAAAGATAAC